TCGCTGTTGGCCAGCATCTGCTTGCACAGGTTGTCAACAGACTTGGCAGAGACCTTGTGGCAGCCGCGGTCCATCTGCCAGGTGACGGCTCCGCCGGTGCCTTTGCAGGCCTTTGCGCCGGGTGTGAAGTCGTTGCCGTGCTTTTGCCCCGTGGTGGAGCCCTGCGAGGGAGCGGTCGCGGCGCGTGGCTTCACCACAAGAATATGGACTGTGGAGCTCAGAAGGGAGCGGAAAGAGCCTGGTAGATGGCCACGTCAGTCACGAGGTCCGGATGCCAGCCCTCCATCATATTCCACTCCGGGTAGTCATATGCGGCGTCATTGACCACCATAACGACCATCCCTTGGACACCAATCTTGGCCGTACCGTCAAGGACGGCCGCCACAGCGTCTCCAGGGTCCATGTCGGCTTCGTTGGCCTTGCAGAGCACGCCTGTTCAGATCGTCACGGCCAGTCACTCGCGGGTAGGAAACGGAAAAGAGATGATAGCACGCGTGTCAGCGTGTCAGGCAAGGGGCGAGGGGCCGGGATTGTGGGAGGCGGACGGCGGCACCGTCCATGAAGTGCGACTGCATCTGCCAGGGGGTGCCGCAGGCGCCCAGCGAGGAGTGGGGCCAGTGGATTTCGTAGGTGAAGCCCACGTGCCTACAAGTTCTTGAATAAGTTAGCGACGGCTCCTTCGACGGCGGTGGCGACGGCTGCATGTCGCATGTCGGTGCAGTACTCCCAGTCGTACTCAGTTGTCCACGCCGGATCATTCTAAGGGGAGTCGGGGAGCAACAAACGAGACTCGATACGCCGCGCCACAGTTGGGCAGTGCGCAGTTGGGCACAGGCAGGGCTACGGAGGAGCAACGCCTCGTCGTAGCCTGGGCAAAAGTTGCCTGGGTCGATATCGTCGTGCTCGCCGAGGGGGACGGCACCTTTGACATTGCCGTAGCCGTAGCCGTGGCCTGGCACGACATTCGCGCCGTGGGCCTTCGGCTTCGTCTTTCCGTGCTGCTCCATCCACTCCTCGCCGTCAATGTCATACGTGCCAACGTTCTTGTGCTCGGCGCCGAGGTGCCAGTGCACGTTGACGACGCACATACCCGCCTCGTTGAAATGCGTTTCAACGGGAGAGAGGGTTGCGTCAAGCAGGCCAGACGACCCCACCGTAACGTCCTGCGGAGCGAGCGGCGGGATTTAGCGAGAGTCCCCTCTCACCACCCCCTCTCGCCCTCCACCGCCCTCGCCGCCCTCACCGCCCTCGCCGCCCTCATCGCCCTCGCGCCATCCATCCCCCGCCGCGTGCGAACGAAGCCGCCACCACCGCTGTCCGCACCGCGAACGCACCGCGCCGGATTGAACATTGGGTCCAAAGGCACTCTCCTCGCCACAGTCGATTTGATGCAAAGCGTCCTCGATCGGTCCCTTGCCGCCCTCAAGGTCCGGGTTGTCGTCGCGCAGTCCGTGCCAGAGGCAAATGTTGTTCACCCAGGGGGTCTGATCGTCCTCGCAGACGAGCGGGGTTGCGGAGAAGCCGCAGGAGACGAGGCCGAAGGACAACATATATGTCTGTGTATGCGCCACTATGACAATGCGGCAACGAGGCCGATGGACGGTTGGCCGATTAGGACCTTTACAAGTTGGATCCAGCCTCGTTTGATGCTGCGTTTCAGTTGTGTTGAACAAATATTTTTTCCAGTGTACGTGGCTCTTGAGCACTTGAGCACTGGATAGGGTCGATTCCGCATGGTACGGGACCCCTCGATCGTCTCGCCCTCCCTCACTGCACAAACACGAACACGTGAACAGGGCATAAACATCATTTTGCAGGGGCTCCAGGCCCCAAATGACGTGTGAGTGTTAGAGTTGTTTGGTATTGCTAAAAATCTCTCTCTCACTGCACACTCACTGGTGTGTTCATTGGGGGGGGTCATAACAAACACGGTGCAGGATCGAGGTGCACGCTGCTGAAGCAGTATCGTCCCCTCTCTCCCCAACGGCGATGGCGGTGTGACCGATCGAGCTACAAGAGGAGCTTGTTCAGCAGGATCTGGGATAGCCTGGCGCACTACCTCACTGGGCCTGAGACCGCCGAGACAGCATCCCATCACCCCTCCGGGCTTGCGTGGGGTCGAACCACTCCGGGATGGGCAAGCCCATGTTTTTATTTCAGTTCCCCTCGCACCTGCGAGAGTAGGCAGAGGTTACATGGTCTATCTCAAGCGGCGCCGTGGCAGGGGGGGGGGGGGTCAACAGAGGGCAGGGGGGGGGGGGGGACAAGCAGGGGCTGAACGATAACAAGCACAGGCATAGCAACTCTTAAACGTACTCCACGCTCAAAGACCAACACCCGCAAGAAATCCAAACACACCCATAGATACCGCCCCGCAACGACCCCCTCCCGGAAGTCAGTTACTCTCGCCAGCCCCCTCCTTGACCCGGCCTGCCTCCCTTTGGCTGCGTGCCTTCTGCTTGCCCCTCGGGCGCCGTCTCCCAATCCCCACCCCCCGCCCCAC